CGGGGACTTTCTAGATTATTAGGAAAGGCAGAAGTTTGTTACTTTAGCTTTTTTTCTTTTCTTTTCCACCCTTGCTTTTCACTTGGGTGTTTTTTGTTTTTGTTGGTGCAGATCTGAATCATGGATCCTCATGGCTTCTCCAACCATTGGGGGTATCCACCACCATCCGAGTGGTATTACCCCGAGACCCCCTGGAGCAATCAAGGAGGAGAAGACTATGGATTCGGGTTTCAGTACCAACCCCCATCCTACGAAGAACAATCAGACCCCTGGGTATTTCAAGAACAATCTCCTTATCAAGAAGAATTCCTCCATCAGCCAGATCCAAACTATCACTTGAGGCTTCTCGTGGACCAGATTGCTCGAGTACCTGAGACATCCTTTCCAAAGATGGATATCCCAGACAATGCCCAAACTGGGTTCTCCTACCGTGAAACAGAGGAGACCCTCCTGAGCATAAAGAAGAGCCTCGAGGATCTTGAGAAAGCTTATGCACAATCTGCTCAAGATCACCCTTATGCTATCATACTAGAAGAGGAGGAGGAAGACGAAGGCTACAAGGACATTGTGGAGCAAACAGAAGTTATCACGGAGAGCTCCCGTGAAGATCATGATCAAGAATGTCCTATCGTAGCCGACCACACCTTCCCACATCCCAAACTGAGCTTTGAAGAGGCGGGCATGAGTGAGGAGATGCAAGAAAATCTCATGAAAGAAATTGCTTGGCAACTTGCTCTCCAATCCGTGCTAGAAGACGAAGAGCAAGAAAGGGTTCAGAAAGAAGTTGTGGAGGATGACGAAAGTGAAGCAGGAGGAGTTCTTGATCATTTCCCAGGGGTGATACCATATGAACAAGGAAGGGAGGTTGACGAAGCAATTGGCGTCCAGGCTGAGGACGAAGTTGAGGTGGAAGAGGTTTGCACCGGCCATGAGTTACATGTGATATCTCCACCAAACTTCGAGGAACTCCTTAGCAAGGACCCATTTGCAGTGTCTCTTTGCCAGACCAAGGCCACTTCGACATCGGTCCCTCTTGGTGGACGCGATGGTGGTCAATCGATGCTGTCTTATCTGGTTTGGGGCAATGAGACGAGAGAAGAGAAGAAGAGGTCTCGAGGGTGGAGACTTCATCTGCATCAAGTGCACGAGCTTCCATCACCTGTCATACCACATGCTCGTGACTTGAGACTCCACCTCATTGACGAGAACCTCAACTTCAAAGAGGTTCTGGGGTGGACCGAAACTTAGGAGCCATCGTCCGGCTCACGACGTGAAAGAAGCGCTTGTTGGGAGGCAACCCAACCAGTCAGTTTGCATTTCTTTCTCTATTTCTCCTCGGTTGAGTCAGTTTTGTTATTTGGTTTTAGAGTCAATAGCTCAACCTTTGTGAGATTTTGTGTGGTGTTTGTGTTCTGATTACTCTCTCTTCCTGGAATGCACCGCCTGCCCCGTCCATCATCATTCACCCTTGATCTGGTAACTTCGTTCTACCCTCCTTATCTTTCCTCCATTGAGGACAATGTCGTGCTTAAGAGTGGGGGGGTGTTCGATTATGTATGCGGGTGAATGTTTGGCTGTTTGTGTGCTTGGAGCCTAGTCCACTGTCCAAATTTTTAAATTTGAGGGCTCCAAGTACGTGTTTCCTTGCAAATTGCCTGCTCAGTATGCTTTGAATTGACAGTCTCTATAGTAATGTGCAACCTAGGGAGGTAGTGTAGCACTATGGAGGATGTTGAAGTATAAGATTTTTCCTATCTAGCTCTCTGCTGTGTCAGTTGATTTTGTGAATTAGTGGAGCTAAGACCGTTGAATTCATGTGGTAACGGTGACTCTATTTGGATTGTGTTATGGACTCGTGTATCGAACAGGGTGCTCATATGGAAAATGGGAAGCAGTTGGTCCTCCATGTCAAAATCATTAAATCTTAAACATGGGGTAAGCCCAACGTGTGTGGCACCGTTCATTGCACAAAATCGGGTTTTGGAAGAGATTTTAGTGATCCTTAGTGGGGTACTCCTACAAGGTGAATCTAAGCTGTCTCTAGTACAAGTAAAACTTCCACCCGTTGAGCGGTTTGCCTACTCGAGGATGTGTTTTTAAGGGCACGGATAGAGCTTCCGACCCCCCTTAATTTCATTGACCCTCCACACGAGTTGAGGAAAAGGAGTTAAAAGAAGTACTCTGGCGAGCGTCAGATGTACAGAAATTGCTCTTGCTCGACTAATAAGGGTCGACCGTGCAAAAGACTGCAGTTGGAACTCCACCAAATGAAAGAAAAAATGTAAATGAAAGTGAGAAAAAGGGGTTCCAACGGTGAAATGAAGTGAAAGAGCACCCCGGTACAACGAGTCCTTGGTTGTGAATGGTGTGAGTCCCTTTATCCATGAACTGACTGTCTTACTTCTACTTTTTCTCATGATCCTGGCTTGAGTCTAGTACTCGCATTGAGAGAGATAGGGAACGTCTTAGAAGACCAGTTGACCACGTAAGCTGCTATATGATCTGGGAAATCCTCTACCGACGATCGGGGTTGTATGTTGCTATAGAGCTCTGGAGAGTTGCATTGGTTTGAGTTAGGTTTGCTTGGGGACAAGCAAACAGTTAAGTGTGGGGGGATTTGATGACTCGGTATTTGCACATGTTTTCCCCTTTGTTTCTTGATTGTTTGAGCTTGAATTACCGTGTCTTTGGCCTATTTTATGCTAGGTTGTGTTCCTTTGTCACATTTCAGGTCCTAGCACATAAAGTGAAGCATAGGCGCAAGTTTCAAGTCAATCAGAGATCAATTGGCGATTCGGGAGCAGAAACTCGGGCATGACCTGAAGAAGAATTGATTTCTACCTCACTTTATGGATAGAGAATCATGCAAGCTTGTTATGAAACGAAAGAGGACGAGACTACGAGCGTCTGGGATCAAACGGCGACTGATTCGGAGTCCGGACGAGGGAGAAACGAAGCATTAAACAGAGGCTGAGCAAGCTGCACGGGCAGACCAGGGAGGCGCACGGCCGTGCAACATATAATTCTGGCCGTGCGCTCTCTGCCGAGGCCTTGCACGGGCAAAATCCAGCCTTGCACGGCCGTTCACCTGGCCGTGCAAGATGGCTGAGATCGATAAAGTGAAACGGTGCGTTTTGAGGGTGCACGGCCAGAATGGTGTTGTGCACGACCGTGCACCTGGCCGTGCAACTCGGGGAAGCCTGTTTTTAAGCCTAATCCGAGCCAAAAGGGAGAGGAGCTGGGTTTTGGATCCCAAACACCCAAGGGACGAACCCTAGAGAGAGAGAGCGACTTGGAAACATTCTTGGAGCTATTTTGGAGGATTTCTTCGCCATTGGAGCTCGGGAATCAAGCTTGGAGATGGAGATTGAAGATCTAGATCAGATTTCTGCAGTCTCTCTCTTCTCTATGGAGTAACTTCCCTTCACTTAGGTTTTGAGGAACCCAAGTTCCATGAGTTAGGATCTTTCTTGTATGAAGTTTTGGATGCTATACTGTTTGATTATAATCGATTGAGGCATGATTTATTGAGTCAATTGGATCTTGATCAAATTCTCTTGATTTCTGCTTTAACCTATGATAGATAGAATCTGATTAGGTTAAGAGAGCTTCCTTGATTGATAGTAGTGAATTGGTTGTGCGAGAGTCAATCAATTCACTGCTTTGTACTGGAACTCATTCCAGTAGTGGAGATCTGTGTGAATCGCCTTAGCAGTCTATCCCGGTGAAGGCTAGTCACCTGCCGGGTATTCTGTCTGAGAGGGCTTGGTCAGCTTAAGAGATTCCAAGCTAATTTAGGATCTTCCGCAGTTTAATCAACAGTAGATCAACCAAAGGTAATTGCAACTTGGACCTAATTGAGGAGCTAGGGGGAATCATACCTAAGTGAGTTCCCAACTTGTAATTAGTAGAGTAGTCAGTAGAGTAGTTTATCAATCAATCCTTAATCTAGTTTGCTAGATAATGAACTGAAGCTGAGTAATAGTAACTCTAGAGACCCGTGGATTCGATATTTATTACTTGTGCCACTATACTGCAGTCCCTTTCATTGGTTACACTTGGCCATTGTTAGGTGTTGTGTTTTAGCGTGTCAGTCTTACCCATCCCATGGAAAACTCCATCATTGCGATTCTTCCACATGATCCAGAGGGAAATGCAAAAGAATACGTTCCAAGGGAGGCCGGAGGGGGCTGTATCCTCACAACAGAGGTTAGCATCCAGCCAGCTGTTCCACGGACAGGTGAAGAAGTTCTGAAGCTTCTCCGCCTGAACCGACCGATTCCAAAGATAAGCTGTCGGGGGGCAGTCCCTGAACAAATGCAGAAGCGTCTCCGTACGAGTAGGGCATCTAAAACAGGAGGATTCTTGAATGAGGTGCCGTTTAGCTCTCTCCTCGTTAGAACTGATCTTCCCCTGCGCCACCAACCATACGAAGCAGCGAACACGCTCTGGTACTGGGAGGCGCCAAATTCTCTTCCAAAATTGTTGGTTCTCGTCATTGATAGGGTCTTGGAGCAACTGGTAGGCACTCTTGGTAGAAAATCGACCATTAGGCGTCGGCTGCCACAGGAACGTGTCTTCCTCGGTCGAGAGAGGATCTACCGCCCGCGTTGTAATTTGTCGAACTATGTCCATGGGGAGAATGTGGTCGAACTTCTCCGTCTTCCAGTTCCCGTCCTCGTCCACAAATTCCTCCACCAGCAGATCTTGATCCGCCTCTGGAATTTGATCCGTCGCCAGTTCATGGAGAGGTACCTGCGATAGCCATATGTCAGACCAAAATTTAGTTCGGTTACCCTTATGAATATTCCAGGCGCATCCCTTTCTAAGAAGGTTCCCCGCGTTTGCTAAACTAGACCAGGTAAAGGAACTTCCTTGAACCGGCCTCAGAAGATCGAAATGAGTTTGGCCCTTCCCATACTTTGAGCGAAAAATTACGTATGGATGTCGTAATAAATATCTATAGATATTTTTTTATCGACTCCGATTTCAACCCATCTCGCTTGCGTTTTCAAATTAAGGAAACCAAAAAAACTGACAGGTAACCCTAATTCCCTCTTTTATAAAGAACCCAATACGCCATCTGAGCTCTCTCAATTTCGGCCGGTGGGGAAGAAGGCACACGAGCGAGCTATCCGAAACGCAGATAGACAGCTGAACAGCTCTGCAAGTCAGGTTAACGAGGGGACGGGGAGTGGTGCGCTTCGTCGTCTTCGGGGTTTCTGGGGTTTGAGCTAGAGGATGGTCGGGGGAGGTGCCGGCGGGAGGACGAATGAGCAGGTGGTTCTGAACAGTACAAATGTCTTTGCTGCGCTCGACACCTTGAGGAAGAAGAAGAAGAGCTCGAGCTCGTCCGCTGCTGCTGCTGCGAATTCCGGGAAGGACCGCCACGGTTCGTCTAAATCGAAATCGACCAAGGACGGGGATAAGGAGTCCGAGAAGGTGTTCTGGTCGCCGGCGCCGCTGAACTCGAAATCTTGGGCCGACGTCGATGACGAAGATGATGACGATTACTTCGCGACTACTGCTCCTCCAGCTGTCGTCTGGGGTGAAGATGATGTTGGTGCCCAGAAGGAAAAGGAGGCTGTGGAGGTGATCTTGGTTTCTCTAATTTTTTGGGTTTGTTTGATTGTGATGTGTAGCTATATCAAGATGCTTACTTTATCATACTCTTGCTGTTGGTTTATTGTGAATTTTGGTTTAACTTGGAATCCGCTTGTGTGATTGTGGTGGTCTTGTTTACTTGACGTTATAGACATTGGGCGAATGGCTTATTGTGTTGGAGTAAGCAGCTTTCACTGGTTCTCTAAAGGAAACTTATGTTGGCCTGATGTTGAAAAGGAGATGACAGATTTTCTTATCTCATTGGATCTCTTCTGTCAAATATGTGGCTCTGCGTTTGTGGATGGATTTGCATAGAAAGGTTTCTGGAGGAAGAAATGAGGCATTTGCGATTGCTAAGTAATTCATGTTTGACTTAGACTATTGATGCAATCAGAAATAGAGAACATATCTGCCCACTTGTTAGTAAATGCACTTTTTCTAGTTTGAGAACTGACTTAACATGTGTTGCTTGTATTGGATTCTGGGTGTGAGGTGGAGTTTTAGGATTTTTGGTCAAGGGACTTCGCCCGTGCTTCAGTTTGTAGTTTACGCACGGTAGTGTCGGTTTATGGATACATGGTTACGCTTTCATGGTTGCCTTACTAGGAAAAAGGGCCGGAATCGGTATCACCTCTTGTCGTACTTGGAAAGTTTGGTACAATAGTTTTTTGTCAAATAATATGAATGTTAGAGGCTGCTAAGAGGATCTCATTACCTGGTCCATCCAATTGCTAACGGACTCATGTTGGTAGTCTTGCAGTGATGAATACCGAGGAACAATATTACTGTTTCAACCAGAGTTTTCCCCCTAGTGATGTAAGAAAAATATAGTCACATTCCTCAAGATCTTCATATCCTTGGAGCATATTTAAGTGATTTGATTATGTCTTGTGATGTTCTTGACTTATTGCAAGGTAGGTCTCTATATTGCTGCCAACTATGTACACCCTCCCAATATTGCTTTAGATACTTTGGGGAGCATTGTGAATTGTGTCTTTTGGTGATTAGCAGCATTAGTCCACGGTTGTTGGCATTAGATGATTTTATCGAATTCTGTTTTCTGAAGCACTTGCCCACTTGTTATTGGCTTTGGACAAAGGATGCATTCAGTTGTTTTGCAGTTGTTATTGTACATACAAAGTACACAGATACTTTATTCTCTTTTGGTCAGGAGCAGTCATCAAGTATCAGTATATCTTAATTGTGTTTTCTTAAAAATTAAAACCAGCTATTGTAGGCAGGGTTTTCAGTCATGAACCATGCGAGAACCCTGAGGATGAAAGAATATCCCGTAAAGTTGGTATTAGATAGTCTTGCATCAAATGCAGCTCTTTGCTTTCCGAAATATGTTTTAAAATCTTATGTTTATACAATGGCGGAAGTAACTAGGATGTTAATATTCCAGTTCAGCAAATTTAAGTCAAAGTTGCTTCAGTACTCATGGTTTGTGTCTCTCTGTTGTTTGATACAACTCCAAGCTGTTTATATTGTCGTTTCTGTTTGATGATCGCGTTAGATATTGACCAGGATTTACAGCAACTAGTCTTACCTCAAATGCTGTTTGGTTTGCAGGAAAGTGAAAGTGATGAAGAAGGTCTTGATGAAATTGATGATGATGTGGAGGAGGAACATGAACCCGAACCTGAAACAGCCACCGAGGTGGAGCCAGTTCAGAAGCAACCTGAGAATTCCTTAGCTCCAAAAGAATCAGAAAGACAACTTTCGAAGAAGGAATTGAAGAAAAAAGAGCTTGAAGAACTTGATGCCGTTCTTGCCGAGCTCGGAATGGCCAAACCGGAGTCCAGTAGCCATGAAGTCGCTGATGGTAACTTCTCATAAAAGACAATGTTTCTCCTCCTATTATAGTTTTAATATTATGTATTCACCACAAAAATAACATGTGGCTGCAACACTTTGTTCACCGATGATAAAACAATATTCTACATTTTTCACCAGATGTTTCACAAGAGAAGAAAGCAGACAACAACGGACAAGTGAAGAATGAAAATGCTCCAGGCGAGAGCAAGAGTGCCAAAAAGAAGAAGAAGAAGGAAAAGACCTCAAAAGAAGCCCCCAAGGATCCCGAGGGAGATGGCGCTGGAAGTAGCAACGCTGAAGCTGAAAAGTCTGATGATGCATCAAGCGGTGTTGATGTGAAAGAGCGGCTGAAGAAAGTGGCGGCTAAAAAGAAGAAATCAAGTAAAGAAGTAGATGCCGCTGCCAAGGCTGCTGCTAGTGAGGCTGCTGCCAGGCGAGCAAAGGTTACTGCCGCAGCAAAGAAGAAGGAGAAGTCTCACTACAATCAGCAGCCTGTGCGGTAAGGCAAGCAAGAGAAAATTTTGTCCTCGGTTCTCGTCTTTGATTTTGATGATGCAAGTAGTACCTCAGGCTAAGGATTTATGGCGCGATATCGATTGCAGCTTTATTTTGAGAAGGGATAGAAAGATACTTCTTCGTTTTAGTTCTTCACTTGTCCTGGTTTTGTTAGCAATGCTGAACCTAGTGCTTCCTTAAATAGCCTAAATATGAAATGATAGGTTTCATGGTTCATTTCTTTGTAATTTTTGCGGGTAAATTGCAAGGTTAGTCATGGAAAGTGTTAAAATATTCATGTTTGGTGACTAAAAGAATTTTATTCCATTCATGGTCACTGAAAGTGCTTAACATTTCATGATTGGTCACTCTCCGTTAATCTCCGTCTGTCTCCGTTAACAAAGTCTGTTATTTGTTGACGTGGCTAACAGTGTCGCCCAGTCAGCTTAATTTAACCCCAAAAAAAAGAGACCTGACCCGACCCGCCATGTCAGATTAGCCTAACCCAACCCATAACACGGCCAGACCTAAGAACAAACATATCAAATTAAAATTGAGAGACCATCTATTTCAATCCATCTTCTTCCTCCCCGAACTCTTCCTCTTCCCTTCTCTGCTAATTTCTTTCGATACTAGGGAGTTGAGGAGCACTCTTATTCTCAATCCCACCGAAAATGGCAGCCGCTGGCGTGTTCATTTGTTGTTGTAGGGAACTGAGGAACGGGTTTCTGGATCACATGTGCGCGGACTTACCGGAATCGGGACTAACGTTGGCGAAGGGCGGCGGAAATCTGCCCAAAGGGGTGAACCTGAGGGAGGCAATACGGAGTGCAATTGAGGATTCAAACTTCTCCGTCGCGATCCTCAGCAGCGAATTCGCTTCCTCAGAGTCCCACCTCGATGAGCTTTTTCTTTGGTTGCAGATTGAACAATCCAGATCCAATCTCCTCGGTGGCGGCGGGCCTCTACTTCCGACTAAATCAAGGAGGATGACCTTGAGAGCTCGTCGACTTCGACCTCTCCATCGAGCTCCCTCCGCAAACTCATTGTAAATCCTAGGCACAGAAGCTCCCCACGGCGAGGTCCTACTCCACAATCTAAGCAACCGCCGTCGGGTCTCCGTAGAGGCGGACCGTCTGAATTCGGGAAGGATGGGTTAGATAGAGAGCATGGTGGGAGAGTATGATTCTTATTCCCATATTGGCTTGGGATTTGATGATGATCGGGTCGGCTCTGTAGAGGCAAACTGTCTAAATCCGCAATGGCGGTAGACAGCCAGTGGAAGAAGATGAAGAGACGTGTCAATAGTGGAAGAAGAGGTTAGGTTAGGTTAGGTTAGGTTGAGTCGGGTTGGATTGGGTTGGGTTGGATTTTATGACGTGGCTGGTCGGGTTCTGGATTTTTTTGGGTTAAAATTGGGTGACTAGACTTTTCTGTTAGACACATCAGCAGATACCGGACTCTGTTAACGGCAATGAACAAAGACTAACGGAGAGTGACCAATCGTGAAATGTTAAGCACTTCTAGTGACTATGAATAGAATAAAATTCTTTAAGTGACCAAACGTGAATACTTTAGCACTTTCAATGACCAGTCATGCAATTTACCCTAATTTTTGCTATTAGTGACATTTGCTGCTGATTTACTATTGAGTCAACTCATTCGCTCGAACCGAGCCAGCTCACTAATTAAACTCAATGAACCACTGAGTCGAGCTAGCTCGCTCGTGAGTCTCATGAACTGAAATGATGAGTTCGGTCTTGACTCACTTGCTAACAAGCCGAGTTACGCTCAAGAATTTGAATCGAAGTTGACGGCAACATCTAAAATGAAAGTATGAAACTTCTCACTTTCCGCCAGGGCCCGGCCCAATTCCCAACGTCCCATCCCACAATGGAAGTGTTGAGCTACTTAGGCCCAGGTTTGGCCCACGCGAGGGGATACCGAAGCAGAAAATCCTCGCAAATCGCTCGTTTCCTCCCCGAAGAACCCCCGCCGTTTTTCAGTTCCAGTCGTAAGCATTCGTCGGCGCCGCCCTTACCTCTATTCACCTTCTTCTTCCTGCCGTTGCTTTTCCTTCCCGCGCTTCATTCATTTTCTTCCTTCAGGCTTGAGAGCTCAGCTGATTGGTTCCCCTTTTCGAAACCAGCAAGTAAAAAACCCCGCCTTTCCCCGTACATGCAGCGTTTGACACGAAATTTCAACTCAGCAAGAGCTTGATTTGGTGGTTCTCTTCTTAGCGAGGAATTGAAGAGTTGCTACTTTGCTGGTATCTCGAGGGTGACCCGTTTTTGTTCAGAAACTTGATTTGGTGATTGCTTCTTTACTTGGGTAAAGGAAGGAGATTTGAGTCATCAGCAAAGAATGCTGGACGAGAGTAAATTTGATGTGCATTTGAAACTATGGGCGCTCAGAATCCCTCGAGAGCTCTGCAAGGTAGCTACTCGCATCCTCAATGGGTAAGCAAGCAAACGAGATTGCAAGTCTTCTTGTTGTTTGGAGTTGGTTTTTTGTAGTGTTGATTCTAGTTGGTTTGAAAGGCTGCTTACTAATTACTTGGTACTGGTTCATGTTTTTGTTGTTGTTTGGTTAGATACTTGCTTGATAAGCCTCGAGTAAAACCGATTACAGAAGACCCAACGAGTGATAAGAACAGGTACATGATATTGTCTGAGAAGGTTGAAACCCCTGGTAAGTGTCTGTGCATACTGATCTTTTTAGAGAGTTTGTTGCTATTGTAAGAAAGTTCTGAATTTGGTTTCATCTTGTTCTCTGCCAACCAGAGCTACCTGAAATCCCAGTTGAAAAACTTGATGAACTGAAGAAGTTATGTGAAATGGAAGTCGTTCCTTACTCCTTGACGCTTGGGTATTCTTACTGGAGTGCAGGTTGGTGCTTCATGTGTTCTGTTTGCTGCATTGATTTTACGTTTCACTTTTTCGTGCGAACTCGACTGTTGGACTCGAGTTGATTAGAGAGGGCAAATGCACTAATTTGCCTATTATGTATATGTGGAAGTTGTTAACAGTGGTTATCTTTGATCTCAGATCATATACTAAAGCAGGTTCTTCCAGCTGGAGTTGAGGTGCCTTCGTCGTTCGAGACAATAGTTGAGTATTTATCATTCTTAGCTTTCCATTAGACTTAGCAAATGACATTGCATATACCTGAGTGCTTTTAGAGAGATAGCTTGATATTGCTGATGTTTGTCGTGGATATGTTTTAGCATGCACTGCAGTAGTTTAGCTTCATCGATAGGAGGTGGAACCTAAGCCCTGACAAGTTTCATCTCTGCTCCTTCTATCTGCAGGTCACATTGCTCATTTAAATATACATGATGAACTGCTACCATTCAAGGATGTCATTGCCAAAGTTATTTATGATGTAAGTTTCTAGTTTACCCCAAAAAAAGCTTTATTAAAAACTGCACTTCATTCATTTCGTATGCTCAACAAATAAATACTGGTGCCCAAGCTTTAAGTTATTGTAGTTTATGATGGAAATGGTCTCGACTTCAATGATTATTCAAGGAAATTTATTATCTTTGTTATTAGTGAAATAACATTTGTCTAGGATGTTATTATATATAGTGCAATTTGAGTGTATTTTCTAGTGCTATTGGCGAAAACACTTTTTGTTGATTCTGCTTGGGTTCTTTTTCCGCTGCTTTTCATATATTTCGATCATATAATGTTTGAATTGGAAAAAAGAAAAAGAATGTGATACTTAGATATGTGGATTGTGGCAGAAAAATCATCCCAGGATCAGAACTATTGTCAATAAAGTCGGATCTATATCGAACGAGTTTCGAGTTCCCAAGTTTGAGATCCTGGCTGGAGACAGTGATATGGTCACGGAAGTTAAGCAATATGGAGCTACGTTCAAACTTGACTACGGTTTGGTTTATTGGAATTCGAGATTGGAGCATGAACACATAAGACTAGTGTCTCAATTTCGACCTGGGGAGATCATATGCGACATGTTTGCTGGAATTGGTCCTTTTGCTGTTCCTGCAGCACAGAAAGGATGCATTGTTTATGCAAATGATCTGAATCCCGACAGTGTTCGTTATTTGAAGATCAATGCCAAAGTTAACAAGGTTGATGATCTTGTAATTGCCTTTAATATGGACGCTAGGAAATTCATGGCCCAGCTTATGACGCTGCCAGCAGCTCATGAAGACAAACCAGTGGTCTCTAAAGTAGAGACTGTTGAAGATATGAAAAGAGACCAAGAGCAAGTGACAGGTAACATGTATTCATATTGGTATGTATTATTGATCCCATTTGTGTTACTTTTGTCTCAAAACTTCTGTCATATTCTGTAGTTGGGGCAAAGTATTCATCTGATGCTGCATCCACAGCTTCTGTCAAAGGGACTCAAGATTATTGTGGTGAAGGTTGGTAAAGAACAGAGTTTGATTTTGTGGGTCACTGAAATGTCTGTCAGCATCTTGAATGCTAATATTATTATTTTCTTATTGTAGAAAATGGGAAAGACCTTGGAGCGGCGGGTAAAGGTAGGAAGAACAAGAGGATAAAGCTCTCCGAGTTGCCCAATCTCAACACTTGGGAGCATGTTGATCATGTGATTATGAACCTCCCTGCTTCTGCCATAGAGTTTCTTGGTACATGCAAATAACAATTATTGTCCTGTGTTTATTATGCCTGTTGTCTTTTGGATGGGTGGTAAGATGTTTGAGATGGAAACCCTAATCTAATGCTTCTTCTTCTTCTTCTTCTTCTTCTTCTTCTTCTTCTTCTCTTTCAGATGCGTTTAAGAAGCTAATCCCCAGGCAATGCTGGCAGGGTGATCTTCCCTTGATTCACTGCTATTGCTTCATTCGGGCAAATGAAACCCAAGAAATGATAATTAAGGTTATTTATTTCTGATTATGTTTATTGTTTCTCCTTTCTTCAAACTCTCTCCTAGAAACTGCAGTTTTAAGTGTCGGTCTGCTGATAAATCATCAGCTACCCTTTTCATGCGGCATTCTTGAGGGAGTTGATAATGCACCGATTTTCTCCATGTAGCATTCTACCAAAAAAAAAAAAATTACAATTCCTTTTCCAGGTGGCCGAATCTGCCCTGGGTGCTCAGATAAAAGATCCTATATTGCATCGAGTTAGGGATGTTGCTCCGAACAAGGTAAAAAAAGAAAAATGTGAACACCTCCATTTCGCCCTCTTGCTTGTGATAAAATAAACTTTCAGAATCTTGCTACCTTTTCTCGGAAGCAAGTAGGGTTTTCTCATAGAAATCCTCACCACGTTTTCCCTTAACCATGCACGCAGGCTATGTTTTGCTTAACCTTCCGATTGCCAGAAGGATGCTTCACAGACGATGCCTCCACCTGACTTGCGACCACAATTTAGAGACTTGTTGATCAATCTACGAGCTAAAAAGCATCTCCGCCATGGTTTTTGCGAGTCTAGTCACCTAAGTTGTTGCTATCAAGTACCCTTTCCAGCTACACCAGAGCTTTTCGACATGTGTTTCAAAGTTTTCCCCAGGAATGTGATTCAATCTGTAGTCAGGTCACAGTCCATACCCTTCTTCTGATGCTGTTTCTATTTTTGGAACCCACATTCAAGTTCCATTCTCATGGAGGGTTAGATGGATGGGCTTATAGGCCTCGTGGGAGAAGTCAGGAGGCAAAATGTGAACATGGGATAGGATTTGCTGTTGGGTTGGAAGAATATACTGTCGAAACTAAAGTCCCTTTTGCCTCTGCAAATATATTTATGGTGATAATGAAGCCCTTTGTGTACGGCTACCACCACCATGTTAGGGAAAGGCCACAACTTTGAGAAGAAAGGGGGAGCCAGAAGATAACGAGGCACGTAGACTGAAGCTGGAAAGTTGGTTTTGTAAAGAAGGCGTCTTTCCCCTAATTCCTATCCATCCTTATGGGCAAAAAAATTGGAAAGAAAGATTGCATAAAATATTGACAGGGTCATCAGTCATCAGTTCAGTCAATAGCCTTTCAGCTTAGTTAAGCAAAGTAATGACCATGACCATGTCTTCCACTTCTGAATCTTTGTTTCTTTTCTACTTTGTTGTCTTCTATATATCCTATGCCAAGTTGTAATTGGCCTTTTCTCTCAGGAGGCAATTGCAAAAAGGGTGGCTTATCATGGATGATTGGCAATGGCTTAAGGGTTTTTGTTAGGTCTAACCCTAATTAAGAACCAAGTAGCTAGGTAAGGTAAAAATGTCAACTTAGGACGTTCTCCCAATTGTGTCTCTAGTGAGTTGACATGTTACACACAACAAAGAAGAGATTGACGAGTTAGATGACCAGTGTCGTATAATATGAATTCTTTTTCGAAGATAATTCAAAATCGAGATCGACCATCGATTAATCATAATCAAGGAACCTTTTATGTGGATTGCAATATAGGAGTCGATCTCAAGTAACATGATATGGTATCCATTGATAAAGATTGAAATCTAAACCATATAGATACATTACATTAACCATCCTATGAACAAGACCTAAAATTCGAGGTTTGAATCAAGGCATCCAAACTCGAGTAACCACATTGCATCTACGCAAACAATCGAGCGATGTTGGTACATTTCAACCTATAGTTACCATTGTACATTTCTTCCTTCAAGATATGCAAAGAAGGCGACAACCAAGTGAGTCAAATTACAGAACCGAGTTCAATCATACATGATAGTCCTTAAGCAATCCACAAGGACTGATTTTGCCACCACACTTAGCCAACTTGATTCGTATACTAATCACCTATTGGTTTGCCAAGGCAAATGTTAACTCAGTCGGTCAGCAATCACTTCCTATTTCACTGACTTCACTCACCGTCATTAGATAAAGTAAAATATAATTAAGGGGACTTTTTGTCTAAAGTAAAGATACTTATAAACAATTAAGCATACTTCGCAATTAGCACACCCAAGTTGGTAGCTGATCATTTCTTTGCTTTCGGTAAAGATGAAGATAGAGATGAAAGCTGATTGTATTAAACATCAGTGACCCAAAATATAGAAAAAAGACCGTCTTTGTACAATGGTAGCCAGAGAAAATTGCAATATTAATTAGGCAAAATAAGGCTTTTATTTTATGATAGTATTTGTAAGAAATACAGATCTTGGACACTCTCGATAACTGTAACAAGATTGGGATATAAGAGAACTGGAACTGAGACTTAGAATTAGAATTAGAATTAGAATTAGAAATTAAGAAAGAAGTTTTATGGAAGGATTTGGGGAAGAACATGAATTGCGAAATAGGAACTAGGAGAGAAAAGGGATAAAAAATATATTTAATAATGGATGCAGAGTGTAAGGAAATGGTTAAGCACCATACACGGGCCTGTATAAGATTCAGCATAACCTTCTCCCAACAACTCGAGTTATTGGGACCAACTGGTTTTTGACATGGTATCAGAGCTGATTGTCCGTGAGGTCACGTGTTCAAGTCCTCACGACCCCCAATATTAACCGTTGTCTTTCAAGCACATGGAATGGCGGGCCTGTGCAAACTTCAAGCCCATGAGTCGGCTTTCGTTTGAGGGGGCGTGTAAGGAAGTGGTTAAGCACCATACACGGGCCTGTATAAGATTCAGCATAACCTTCTCCCAACAACTCGAGTTATTGGGACCAACTAGTTTATGACACAGAGGCACCCTATCTTTCATTCAGCACCAACCGGGGTTCGGAAAGTCCCTGACAATCATACAAGATCCAATAGTTCAACATAGAATCGTTACTAGGAACTACATGAAAACCAAACGGGAGATCATGCCCCCTACTAGCAAGGAAATCGACACATCTATTACCCTCTCTATACACATGGTCTATAAAAACACTCCAAGGCCGAGAAATGAGCTCTCTGAATCTCGAGATGACAGCTGCACTATGGTGGTCACGGTAATTTTCTCGTCTCAAGAGTTGTACCGCGCACAGGGAGTCAAGTTGGACGTGCACCCTCCTGTATCCTTCATCCCAATCCACCTGAAGACCCTCAACAGCACCCATCAACTCAACCTGGGTTATAGTGCACGAACCCAGGTTCAAAGCAAACGCTGTCTTACAGCGTCCTAAGTGATCACAGATCAGGCCACCAGCAGCAGCATGGCCCGATCCAGGTAAAACGGAGCCGTCGGAGTTGAGGCAAACCCACTCGGGAGGAGGCGGCTTCCAGTTGATCTGCTCCTCCGTTCTGGTGGGTGGACTAGGCTTATGAATGAGCCTGTCCTTGTCCAAAGCGTTCCTCACTACAGGTATCTAAGCTTGGACTCGCTGCATGAAGGTTCAGGTGTGAAGATCTTGCCTGCAAAGACACGATCATTCCTGGTCCGCTAGAGGGACCAACAGGTAATGCCGAAATCAAGGTTGTTGTGCTGGTTGCGAAGGTTGCCGAGTAGCCAATCTTGCAGATTAGTTCCGAAAAACTATTGGTGGTCAGAAAGGGGGATAGTCTGCATCCATATTAACCGGGAAAAAGTACAGTCCCGTAACACATGCAGGACTGTCTTGGGGTCTTCTCTGCAATGCTGCCACGCCGTGAAAGTCGTGAGATGGTGTCGTCCCCCCCCCCCCCCCCCCCCCCGCTCACCATTGGTCAGTTGCAGCTCCTTTGCTGCCAGCCAGAGGAAGTGTCGAATTCGAGCCGGCCCCTCCCAATTCCAGATAGTGCGCCAATCCAACTGCCGAACTGTGTCCTCCGTGCTCGTGGCGATGGCATATGCCGAGCGTACTCTAAAGCGTCCATCATCCTCAAGCGCCCAGATCGCCACATCCTCACCCGAGCCTGCCACTGGTGGTTGAACGCCAATGACCTGCGACACAGCTGCGTCAGGTAAAACAAGACGAAGCAGAGGGATGCCACACTCACCTTGAGGGTTCACACAAGTAGCCACGACCTGGACAGGGTCAATCTCAGAGGGGGACTCCACATAATCCAACAACACCTTCCCGACCCACCCATCGGTCCATCCAGAAGCTCGTACTTTGTCCGTCCCTAACCCACATACCCATTCCTTCAGCCATGATGGGCCAGGCCAAGGGATAAATGTAATATGTTTTGTTTATTGATTTCTAATTAATTTCAACGTAAAGACTGAGCTACACAAGGATTCGTGGTTTGTGATGCCTTGGGGATATTTGTTATGTTTAAGGATTTTATTATGCAGGTCTTGTAGATCCGTTTCTGGTGGAATTGGTAGTTTTTTGGGATGCGATTCACTGGTGCTCTTTGAAGAGTCTTGCTGAATTGAAGTTCTGTGGAGATGCAAAGGTAGTTATCTAGAAAATTCAGAAGATGGATATACGAGATGTGAAGGGAGGACGGATTCTTGAGGAGATTGCGAGGCTTCGACATCAGTACCGAAGTTTTGGGGTTTCCTTTGTTGAGAGGAGTAACAATCGGGTGGCCCATGATGTGGCCAGGAAGACTCTTTCTTTGTTGCCTGCGATTGTAGATAGTTTTGATTTTGAACGTTGGTTTTTACTTAGTTTGTAAACTTTGCTAGCTTTTTGCCTTGGAAATACAAGTGATCTATTGGTAAAAAAAAAGAGACTGAGCTACAATATACAGATGGTGACATAACCGTAATCGACCGAACCTATTAGAATAACCCAGGTACTCTTAATCCTAATAACTATGTTTTTAAGAAGAATTCTTGAGCCCCAACCATATTACTACTTGGCTACTTCACGGTCTCGGACTCTCGCCTCTCAGTGTTGCTAGACTGCGAATCTTACGATCTAATATTATAATTCGAGACAAGATTACTCGAGGTGGCCTTGCAATAAAAAATGTCTAACTATGAAAAGGTCAAAAAAGGGTCAACGCGACATAATAATCATATTGAATGTATGTATTACCGCAACAAATATGTCAGAAAGTTATAGGGCTAATACCACTACAACACCCGAACTATCGCAAAAATGCCACTTGTGTCCTATTGTATCAAATATTCCATCTGTGTCCTGAACTATGATTCCGTTAGGGTTGATTTTTGTTGACCGTTAGTTTTTAACAGAAAATCTAGTCAGCGCTGATGTGGCATCTGACGTGGAATTTTTCATATTAGTTTTTATTTATTTTCCATCTAAATTAATAAAATTTAAAAAAGGAAAAAAAATAATAACTCATTTCTCAGACCCCTCGTCCCATTATCCCCTCTTCCCCAATTCTCAAAAATTAAAATTGCGACGCATCCAACCTGGAAACATCTTCAATTTCCCCACCATCAAATCTGAAATCCCGGATCCAAATCGTCAAGAAGCTACTCTTCCTCCCAGAAAACCCTCGAAGATTCCTTAGGCTGTGCGCCGATTTCGGCGGGATTCGCGACTTCCTGGGCTGGATCTCCCAAACGGAAGAAACGCCGCTGGGGGTGATTTGGTCGGAGTCCCCGACGGAAGAGCGTCGTGAGTCCACCGTCGTCATCAAGGCTTCATACCAGCCACCGTCGATCCTAGTCGCCACCAGCTCCCAGTCCTTCACTCTATTCTTCAAACCCAGAAATGCAGCAGATTTCCATTCGGCTCCTTGGCACCGCGCGCTCCAATCATCTTTCTCATTCGGCAGAACTCCAAATCAAGGCCCATGTAACGACCTCTTCCCACCCAGAACGTATTACAATGCTTTATTCATGATTTCAATCTCCGATTGAGTTGAATTGAACAAATTTTGTTTTGGAAAAATTAGGGTTCTTCGAAAAAATGGTAGAAGCTCCACCAGGTTTCCATTTCTCAGTCAAAGGCCGCAACAATTGTGGGCACCCTGTAACTGGTGGAACTGAACTAAAAATGGGAGAGATGAAGGAGGTGGTTTGCGACAAAGTTACTGGGAATGGAGAGGAAGAGGGGGAAGAGGAAGAGGAAGAAGTGGAGATTGGGTGGGGGTGGGGTGGGGTGGGGGTGGGGAGCAAATAATTATTTTTATTTTAATTTTCTAAGAATTTTTTATTTTATTTATAACTCAATTTTTATTTGATTTGAATTAAAAAATATGAGGTCAATGACGTGGCATCTATGTGGCATGCACATTTTTTGCCACGTCAACAAAAGTCAACTGCGCGTTGACCACCGTTTGGTCAACCGTTATCTTTAACGGTCAACGAAATTGACAGGATACAAATGACACAAAGTATCATAGTTTAGGACACAGATGGAATATTTGATACAATATGACACAAGTGGCATTTTTGTGATAGTTCGGGTGTTGTAGTGGTATTAGCCCAAAGTTATATTGATTGATTCAATTTTATAACCCTGTCAATAGTAATGAGAATATTTTTCTCCTATACGAAATGAACTCAAAAGCATATCGTGTCCTTGGAGAAAGAAGGATGCATGATCGCGTGACCATAACTGAATAACTGTAGCCAGCGAACCTCCAATCGTCTTCTTCTGTTCTGTCCCTTCACAGAGTTTTACAGTCCGCTTTTTGACTCCCATGCAACCCAAATCCAACCAGCAGCACAGCCACAGCCACCCAATCAATTCCTCTCCTTACCCATGAAGATTCTCAAAAGCCAAACACAGAAAAGAAAATCCACACTGATGGAACCGCCAGCGTAATCTTCCACTACACTCACCCGGCCAGTCAGCCAAACTCTATATAAATCCCTCAAGGTACAATTCACAATCTCCCCTTCCCTCTCCCTTTCCCGCCATTAATCTCCTCTCCAGCACAATGATGGAAGGTTCGAGATCCGGGAGCGAGCTTTACTTCTTCTTCTTCGCGACCCTGTTCTCCCTTCTCCTGCTTCTGCTCTGTTTCGGCGGGACGGCGGCGGCGGATTACTACGGTGGCAGGGGGAGCAACATCGGGGTGAACTGGGGGACGATGTCGACGCACCAGCTCCCTCCGGAGAGGGTAGTTGAAATGCTGGTGGCCAACAAGTTCCCCAAGCTCAAGCTTTCGAGTTCGACGAGCAGATCATGACCGCCCTCCTTGAGACCGACATTGAGGTCATGCTCGCCATTCCGAATTACATGCTGCGGACCATGGCGGAGGATCGCCACGCCGCCAAGGCTTGGGTCGAGGCCAATGTCACCGACTGGTGCTTCCACGGTGGCGTCAACGTCAAGTTGAGTTCCCTTCCTTCCCGTTTCTGTAAAATTTGTGGATTGCTGCCTGTAGTTTTGTCCTGAATCTGTTCGATCAATTTCCCCTAAGAGAGTTTGTGGGTTGAATTGAGCACCCCCTGCGTGAAATGAGTGGTTTCTCTTTTTGCCCTGAATCTGTTCGATCATTGTCCCCTGTGAGAGTTTCTGACTAGAATTAATTAAGCACCCCTTCGAGAAGCGAGTGTTTCTCTTTTTTGCCCTGAATCTGTTCGATCATTTTCCCTGAGATTTTTCAGCCTTTGACCTGGTCGCATTTTGACGATCAATGTCTTCCAAGCGAGTGTTTTATCTTTTGCCCTGAATCTGTTCGATTATTTTTCCCCTGAGAGTTTACAGCCTTTGACTTGGTAGGATTTTGGTGGTGATCAATGTCTTCCACCTGCTCGACGATTTGTCCCTGAGGGCTTCTGACGAGAATCAAGCACCGATTTCTGGCTGACCCAGTTTGTTTTTTTCTCTTCTTCTCTTTTGGCAGGTATGTTGCAGTGGGCAATGAGCCGTTCCTCCAAAACGTACAACGGAACCTTCGACAAGTACACCTTACCAGCTCTACGAAAACATCCAGAACGCACTCAACAAAGCAGGGGTGGGGGCACAAGGTGAAAGCCACGGTGCCGTTCAACGCAGACGTCTACAACTCCCCTGAATCCGACCAAGTCCCGTCGGCGGGAGACTTCCGGCCAGAAGTGAAAGACCTAACCCTCGAAATCATCCAATTTCTCCACTCAAACGACGCGCCCTTCACCGTCAACATCTACCCCTTTCTCAGCCTCTACGGAAACCCTTACTTTCCCGTCGACTTCGCCTTCTTCGACGACGCCACGAACACAAACAAACCCATCAAAGACGGGCGACTTGCTCTACACCAATGTCTTCGACGCAAACTTCGACACTTTGGTCTGGTCTCTTACCAAGTCAGGGTACCCGGACATGGCCATCATCGTCGGAGAAGTAGGCTGGCCCACCGATGCGACCTCCACGCGACTGTAGAGAACGCCAAGAGATTCAATCAGGTATCAGGGGGAAAGAGTCAAAAAGACTGTATCTTTCATTACATTCTAGGTAGCTATTATCGATCAAGTTAAATTGAAACTTACAATTCCTTAAAACCCAATATGCCAGGGCCTTCTCAAACACATTGTAGATGGGAACGGGACGCCGGCGAGGCCAGTGAACAAGATCGAGGTGTTCTTATTCAGCTTGATCGATGAGAATGGAAAGAGTGTGGCTCCAGGGAACTTCGAGAGGGCACTGGGGGATATTCGAGTACGACGGGAAGCCTAAGTACGAGCTTGATTTGAATGGGTATGGTTGAAGATACAGGGCTGATTGCAGTCGATGGAGTGAACTACATGGAGAGGAGATGGTGCGTTCTGAGGCCTGATGCGATTGATTTGAGTGATCTGTCGAAGAGCATGGATTACGCGTGTGGCTGAGCGACTGTACTGCGCTTGAATATGGATGCTCGTGCAATCATTGAGTGTGGCTGGGAATGCTTCGTATGCGTTCAATATGTACTACCAGATGAATGGGCAGAAAGACTGGGGCTGTGATTTCTCTGGGCTGGGATTGATCACCGTGGAGGATCCGTCCGATGGGGATTGCTTGTTTCCGGTGATGATTGCCGACGTCGGTAGCGGGGCGACGGCGGTGGTGTTTAGAGTTTGGTGGAGGGTTTTGGTTTTGGTGTTGATCGTGATGATGATGCTGTGAATAGAAAAGGAAAGAAGAAAAGAGAATAGGATGTTTTAAATTTTTTTTTCCTGGTCTTTGGTCCTCTGTTTTTTTTTTTTTTTGGTTTGTTTGATGGTTATTTGGAAAAATGTTAATATACCTCCTCCCTCATATTTTTTTTGGGTAGAGTCGTAGAGATTCTTTGCTCTGGCCTTTCATCAACTTTAGAGGAGGATGATCAAATGAAGAAGACAAGGAAATAAACTGTAGATAATGAAAACAAACAAGCGATTCAAGGAAGGCTAATGATGCGATGCACTGACAATTTGCTGCTTTTTCTTTGGGGGTTTTTATACGGAAAATGAAGTGTGACTTATATTTCTTTTTTTTTTTATAATCAACCTGCTGTTTATTTAAGAAGTAGTGTTTCCGTTACAGTCTTTTTCTAAAGCTAAGAAGAAAAACAGGAGGGTCCGAGACCCACTCAACTTGGGCCTCCCAATTGCAGACCGTGTGAGCTATCAGATGGGCCGCCGAATTGGCCTGCCTTTTTGTAAAAAGCCCACCTTACCTTATCCTCTCCCAATTCTGCTGCAATCTCTTCGATCTCATCCACAAACAATCCCACCTCTGTAAGCCTCCTATTCTCATTTCCAAGCTGCGAGAAGATCCCCTGGCAATCCGTCTCAACGATGACCTGAAGGAGTTGATGGCGAGCAGCAGTGAGGAGGCCGAATTGGATTGCTTTGGCCTCTGCCATCTCTGGTGTCCACCGATCTTTCTTCCTGGTAACGGCTGCCATGACGAATTCTCCCCCAGCATCTCTTACCACCATGCCCAGCCCGACTCCCTCGTTCGCCATTACAGCAGCATCTACATTCACCTTGTACCATCCCTCCGGCGGCTGCACCCAGGTAATCCGCTCCCCTTCCTTTCCTTCTTCCTCCCTTTCTCTGTGTGATTGAAACTCTTCCAGTAGATCTAAAGCACGAGGAACAATCTCCCAATCCTCCAATTTGTGATTGTTAAACAAGTGGTTATTCCTTTCGTTCCATAGCTTCCATAGGATCATTCCCAATCTGCTAAGTACCTCGTCATCGACTCTCTCCATAATCTCGCACAGCCAACTGCCACTCGATAGTCCTTCACCTGATTCAAACAATGGTCTGTATTCAGTAGACCTCCAGATTCGCGTCGACCAAGAGCATTCCCTGAAAATATGGTTTTGCGTCTCGACCTGGTTGCAATAAGGGCATTCAACCGGGGCATCCTTTTTCCTCCCTTCAATATTCTTCCCTGTCGGCAATATATCATGTGTGAATCGCCAAAGGAAGTTTTTAACCTTTGGGGAATGTTTAATCCCCACAAACGCTTCCAATTCATCAGATCGTAAACCTCCCCCATCAAATCCTCAGCCCCTTCACCGACCTCCACATTGTTTGTCTTCCTATTCCAGTACCTGTAAGCTGACTTGACTGTGTAGACACCAGTCTTTTCCAAACTCCATATTCTCCTATCGGCTGTAGGTTGTCTAGGAATGGGAATACCTTTAATCCGAACTTGATCAGTATCATTGAACACCCGTTCCAGTAGACCTTGTTTCCACGTTCTGGAGTCATAGTCAATCAAATCCCCCACCTGGTTGCCCTCCTCCAAATCCACTCTCGTCGAGGTCACTTTGAACTCATCCTCTTCCGCACCTGGGATCCACTTGTCATCCCAAATGTTAATGTTGGAACCATTTCCGAGTCTCCACCTTAAACCTTGTTTAACTAAATCCTGAGCAGCCATCAGACTACGCCAGGTGTAGCTCGGATTAGTGCCAAGAGTAGCATCCAGAATTTCAGTATTTGGGTAATATTTGGCCTTCAAGACCCTCGCCACTAGGGAATCCGGATTGTTCATAAGATTCCAGATTTGCTTCCCAAGCAGGGCTAGGTTAAAGCCCTTTAGATCTCTGAATCCAATACCCCCTTCCTCCTTAGGTTTGCATAATTTCTTCCATGCTTTCCATGGAATCCGCTTCTCCTCTCCCTTTTATCCCCACCAGAACGTAGATATCACTCTTCTAATCTCTTCTAGCACCCCATCTGGCACTCGGAACACAGACATAGTGTAAGTAGCTTGAGATTGGGCTACTGATTTAATTAGAACTTCCTTAGCTGCTACTTACAGTGTCTGGCTTTTCCAATGTTTAACTTTCTTTCTTACCCTGTCAACCAACACCCCAAACGCTGCTCTCTTCTGTCTTCCAATTTTTGTAGGAAGTCCCAAATATTTTGCATGTTCTTCCACTCTCCTCATTCCCAGAATGTTTCCCAGCTCAACTGCCTTCTCATTTTCCACACTCGGTGAGAAACTAATCTCAGATTTTTGAAGATTAATTTTCTGCCCCGATTCCACCTCATAGATCCTTAGAATTTCCTTAATTTTTGCACATTCAGTGGCTGTAGCTCTTGCAAACAGAACACTGTCATCTGCAAATAGCAGATGAGAGATGGCTGGCCCCCTGTTTGAAACTTTAAGGCCATGAATCGTCCCTCTGTTGACCTCTTTTTTTATTAGAGCTGACAAGCCTTCTACACACAGCAAAAAGAGATAAGGTGATAGAGGGTCACCCTGTCTAAGCCCTCTGCTTGGTTTGAATTCCATCGACCTGTGCCCATTCACCAATATAGAATAGGTAACTGTGCTAACACAGTGCATGATCATATGCACCCACCTCCCATCAAACCCCATTTCCAGCATTATCCTTTGAAGGAAGCTCCATTCCACCCTGTCATATGCTTTTGAAATGTCAAGTTTTGCTGCCATGACCCCTGTTTTTGCCTTCTTCTTGTTCTTATCGCATGAAAACACTCAAATGCGATCAAGACATTGTCCATTATGTTTCTCTTTGGGACAAAAGCACTCTGATTTTCCCCTATCACTTTGGGAAGGATCCTCTTCAACCTGTTTGCCAAAACCTTTGCCATAATCTTGTAAAGGACTTGGCACAGGCTAATAGGGCAAAATTCCGATGGTTTCTCTGGCTTCTTGACCTTGGGTATGAGTGCAATCAGCGTGTAGTTTAACTGTTCTGGGAAGCTCCCTATCTCTAGGTAGCTTGTCAAAGCTTTCGTTACCTCTGGGCCCACCACTGCCCAATTGTGTTGAAAGAAAAGCGCTGGCATGCCATCTGGCCCCGGGGCTTTTGTAGGACCCATCATCTTTAGCGCTTCCCAAACCTCCTCTCCCGTGAAAGGCCTTAAGAGGTCTTGATTCATCAATGGGGTAACCCTCTGCTCTACCGCCCCTAGAATCTGACTTGTAGTAGGGATTTCCCCCGACTCAAATAGTCCCTTGTAATAATCCACCAGACAGTTTTCCACCCCTTCTTGGCCACTCCAAGCTCTCCCTGAGTCATCCAAAAGTCTCTTTATGGTGTTTCGCTTCCTCCTCTCTGAAGCCTTCCTGTGAAAAAACCAGTATTGCTGTCTCCCTCCTTCAGCCAGTCCGCTCTTGATCTTTGTCGCCACTTGCACTCCTCCTGGTAGAGAACTTCGTCAAGCTCTCTCTCTAAAGCTTTCCTCTGCTCCAACATCGTTTTAGTTCTCTGTCTTCTGTTTATTTTTTTGAGCAGCCTCTCAATCCTTCTCTTCCTGGTTTTGAGTGAACCGAAAGCCTCTTTGCTCCAGCTCAGAAGCTTAGTCTCGCAATCCTTGATGCGATCCATGACTGATACATTTTCCTGGTTTAACCATCCCTCTCGAACCACCTGCTGGCAATCCTTGTGTTTTTCCCAGTAATGTTCATATCGAAACGACCAGCCCCATGTGATCTCTTCCTCCATTGAGTTTAAGACCATTTGAATCGGTATATGGTCAGCACCACACCTGTCAAGGTGGTTTAGGCGCATGTTTGGAAACAATTGTTTCCACTTCTCGTTTGCAACTGCCCTGTCCAGCCTCTCTTCAGTATAATTCTCCACGTCTCGGTTATTTTCCCAAGTGAATATTCGCCCGAAATAACCGCAGTCCTCCAGTCCACATTCTTCAAGCGTACCCCTAAACATTTCCATCTCCTTTGTATCAGGTTCTCTATTACCACTTTTCTCCAAGTAGTCAGCAAGAAGGTTGAAATCCCCCATAACTAACCAGGGAAAGTCCACCTGCTGATGAAGTCTTCGAAGTAGCTCGCAGCTCTTTTCTTTATTTTTTGCCTCTGGCCATCCATAAAACCCCGTAAATCTCCAGCTCCTGTCAATTGGTGTTGCACCTTTGCATCAATGTGATTTTTTGTTAGGGACATTACCTGCACTTTCACTTCAGCCTTCCACATCAGGAGGAGCCCTCCTGCTCTATTAGTGCCCGCAGACACCCCATCCCCTTCACAGTAACCAAGTTCCCTAATTTTCTCCTTCCACTCCTTGTCATATTGCTTTGTCTCCATCAAAAAGACAATGTCGGGATCATACTGGCGAAGCAGATTCTTCACCTTTCCAACTGCCAAGGTTTTCCCGAGCCCTCGGCAGTTGTAACTCAGAAGACTCATTGGGCTCGGCGGCCCTGCTCTTCTGCAGGGACCGCCTTATCGCCATCCATATGAATTGTGTGTCCTTCCATTACCTTTGCTGCCTCTTTTGGAAATATCAAAGTTTTGGCCTTCTTGATTTTCGTGTTCTCCTCTTCCATTGATGTAGGGATCTCCCCTCTGTCCGCTGGAGCCCTCTTTTGAGGAGTGATTGTCACTCCATTCGCCTCTCTGTATTTTGTTTGCTCCTGTCTTTTCCAGACTTTGCCTCTCGGTTTCCTATCCTCTTTATCTTCCTGTTTTTCCATGAGAAGTTTCTCAACAGCTCCCACATTCAATCCTTTCCCAGTGTTTCTGCAGGGACCTGACTCTGTATATCCTCTTTTGCTTCCCTTCTAATTTCCATAGGATCCCCACCGGGTACGAATTGAATTGCACTATCCTCTTTCCCCTCTTCTATATTCTTCTGCAGATTGCTTTCCTCCTTCCTCTGATCACTATTTTGGGCCTTTTCCTGATTTCCAGCT